GCAAAGGCAAATAGTGAAGTCTAAGGTAGAAAGGGAGGAAGCAACTGTAGGAACCAGCTACCACCCTTGAGGCCGGGGGAGCAAAGAGAAGAAGATGAAATTATTAAAATTTAGAAGCTTAGAGGGAGGCCCCCCAGAGGGGAACCTCAGACCTCTGCGAGGGGGCTCCAGACTCCGGAGGCCGGGCCATGAGGCTGGCTCCGTAAGTGTTGGGAAAACTGCAAACTGGATTCCCTGCTGCCATGGGGGTGAAGCAGGGAGGCCGGGAGATGCTCCCAGAAACAGGGAGCGGACAGGAAGGACTGTGCTCTCCTTCCTCCTTCCTCCTCCAGTCTCTGCCCTTCCTGGCGGAGCCTTATAGGAGCAGTTTGCAAGGCAGAAATGGTGTTTGCAGAGTCCCCCAGCATCTGAAGGTGGTGGGTTTGGAGCTGAGAAACAATAGCTTAACTGGCCCAGCCTCTCGCCAGCAGAGCGGGAGGTCAGCCTTGTCTCGGATCTCCGGGTCTTGAGAGCAAGTGATTGCTGAGCTCCTCATAGCCCTCACAGCTCCACGACTGGACTTTCATATCAAAATTTCTCAGAGAATGTGGGAGGCCTCAGCGACGCGGGAGGGAAGGGGACGGGAGGCTAAGGGCAGAGTGTGAAGGAAGAGCTGTCGTTTCGCTCAAACCCACAGAGCAGGCAGATAGTTGGCGCTCGTGAAGGTCGCCTGCCAGAGCAGAAAGCAGGCAATGTCTCTGAATCAATCTCTTCCCCAGGTTACGGCTGTTTGTTTATATTAAAACGGGAACATGATAACAGGGCTATAAGTAGCTCCGTGCTCAGCTGTGCAAGGTAGAGAGAACAACTGAATTCAGCCCCTGGAGGGAGAAGCTGAGGTCTCCTGCCGCCTGGGATGGGGGCTGGCGCCAAATGCGGGAATGGCAACTGGCTCAGGTCGCTCGCTGGGTTGGTGGAGGAGCCAAAGGAGCTGCAGGGTCAGGTGAACCTGAGCTCACCCTCGGTGAGCAAACAGCATCTGGAATCCTCTTGTCGGCGCCTCCCACATCCTTGGCTGCTGCAGGACCTGACTGGCTGGAGGCCGCTGCGGCCGGAGCGGCAGGAAAGGTAGGTCTCATCTGACCTCGCTGGTCTGGTCTGGAGGTGACTCCAGAGCCTGCAGAGTCCTGGTCAGGCAGAGCCTGCCTGTCTGAGTCTAGTTCTGGTTCCAGACCTTGCTTGCTGTGAGATGTTGGGCAAATCACTTCCACTCTCTGGGCTTCAGCTTCCTCCTCTGTGAAAGGAGGCGTTGGAGAAGATGACCTCCAGGTCTTTCCAGCACTAAATTATTCAATGCAGGAGAAAAATCAAAATTTCTTAAGCCCTTAAAACAGATACATTGCTATTACATACAAAAAAGAGTTTTTTCAATAGAGAATAAAAAACCCTGACTAGAAACCTGATGCGACTGTCTGACTCCTCAATAGATCCCAGTAGGCTGTTCTCACAGGACAGTGGGAGGTTAGCTGCAAAACCTCTTGAGCCTCCGTGTTATCATGGATGAAACGGGGCCTGCATGATCTTGTGTCCGACGCCCCAGCTCCCTGCACCTCCTCATCCTCCACCCAGCAGGTGAAATGGGGCGTCAGCCCAGCCTGGACGTCATAATGTGGGTTCTGAGCCGCGGCCTCTGTGCACGTGCTCCTTCTGCATAGTTTAACTGCTCTGTCTGTCCTCATGTTTCCATGTCCCTTCCTGTTTCAGACTTGGTCCCTGGCCCCATGTCCCCAGTCATGCTCTTGGCTCCCCTCAGCAATACTTCTGGCTACCCAGCCCTGCTGGGCTGCCTCAGCCATGACGGTTAGTCACCCAGCCCAAACCTGGACTTGCTACCCTCTTCCCAGATCAGTGAGGGGGAATCCATAAGCTGGGACCTTCTCAACCAGATTTAGATGCCAAAAGCTGGAAAACACACACTTTACTACAGAGTTAAATGAACAACAGACAGAGGCAGTCAATTACCTTGAACTCTGTACAAGAATCTTCCAAAGTGGCAGCATCGCATCGTTCATCGTGCGCAAGGTTCGGAGCCTACCAGACTCCATCCTTCCTCTTACTCTCTGCTGGTCTTTTGTCATGCCTCTTGACCTCTCTGGGCTTTGGTTTTTCATCTATAAAAAAAGAAAACCCCTACCCCATAGCTTTGCTGTCATAGACATACTGTTAGCACTTCACAACACTTAGCACGAGGAAAGAGCTCAAAATTTATAAAATGCATGAATAAGTGAATTAATGAATCAAAAGACTGTCCTGGTTTATATTTAGGGTCTTTTATGGCTGTGACGATGTGACACCAATATACCAGTTGAAAAATAAAAATTCTCCCAAGCAGCTGTCTTTTAAAACGAATTATACATTTTAATCTCCAAGAGACTAGGTGAGGTTTGGCTGGCTGTTTAGTCTCCATACACAGAGCAAGTGGGTAGAAGAAACCTCCGTGAATTCAGTCTTGCTTGTGGCAAGCCGGCTTGAACTAATGAGAAGCCTCAACCAAGGATGGTTTTTGAAGAAGCGCTGTTTCATGCCCCGAGGACAGAGAGGTGCCCCACCTAAGTGTCCATCTGATGCCCAGCATCGGCCACACGGAGGGGCAGGACTGAAATGACGTGCCACTAGCCCAGCAAATACTTCATTGTAAGTGGCTTGGTCAAAAACTCTTGAAACTTTCTTCTTCTCAAGCCTATGTTATAAATTTTCTTAGTCAACGTTTGTTTCTTCTAGTTCACAAGTCAGTTAGCTGAGCTGCTATTCAGATGCACTGATTTCTAAATTAGCAGTGTCTGAATTCATGATTTTACTGAAAGGATAATAAGAAGGCAGTATAAGCTTTGTTTCACTGAGAGATTTGCCTGTTGGAGGCTCCAAAGAGACCCATTGCCGATAATAACATAATAGCCAACGGTTTATCTAGGGCTTGATCGATTCCGAGAGCTTTACAGAAATTCACTCCCCACAGCCACGTGAGGTCGGAATTGTTCTGATTCCCATTTTAGAGATGACAAAACCAAACACAGAGAAGTTAAATAAAATTTGCAGAGTTTATACATCAGGTGAGCGGTAGAGGTGGCATTTAAATTGTGGTAGTCTGGCCCCCCAGGATCTGGTTCGTGATCACAGCCCTTTACTGCCTCCCACGGGAGGCTGTCCCAGAGATACACGTGGGAAGCCACATACACGTGCATTTAGCCATCTGGGGGTTGGGGATGGAAACCTGCTCAGTTACTTGATGTCTGGTTTGGAGGAAGACAGCACCAAGAGAGGGAAGTTGATCTGCCAAGGACATGTGAAGACAGTAAGTCATGGAGACTGAAGTTGGGGTCCCCTCCAACTACTGCCTCAGGGAAAGGGGGTCGTGGCTAAGGAATGTGGGCACTCTGGGTTCCAAAGTGCCCAGCATCTGGACCTGTCCCCTGTGCCTGGGCAATCTGTCATTATAAGACACAGAGCTCCTAGGACGGAAGCTGGAAAGTCCCTATATTCATTTGCTGTCTTCCCTAGTGGCACTGGCAGCTTCTGGTGCCAGGTGGCGGCCAGGACAGCAGTGGTGTCACGTGTCGGTGATGATGCCCCGTGTCTAACAGCCAAGGTGGTGCTTCAGAGGCCAGTGGTGGCAGCAACAGGGAGGCCAGCAGCCACCCGTGAAGCTGCAGAGTTGCCTGAGAGGGTGGCTCATGGAGGGAATTCACATTGCAAATTGAATATTGAATATCGAAACTTCTCCACCCTCAAAGTCCTCAGGAACCAGCTCTTTCTCTGTGTTTGCCCACCTGTCAAAGACCTGCCTGGGATCGCGCTTCATTCCCAATTGGCTCACCCAAGATATTTTGCTTAAGAAGATTCTCTTCCCTGGAAGAATTCTCTTGTGATTTGGGGGTGAGGGGGATGGGAGGGCAAACCTTATTTCTTATCCCTCCAACCCTTAATCATACAGAAACCTGATATTAATAAACACAAAGGCAATAGTTTTCAAATTTTTTGCCCTGGTATTGGAATTCTTTTTTCAAACAATATCTTAGGCAGAACCCCAAGATGTGACATATGTTTACTTCAAAAAATTGAGGTGAAATTCACATAACACAACCATTTGAAAGGGAGCAATTCAGGGGCATTTAATACATTCACAATGCTGTGTGCCTCTACCTAGTTCCAAAACATTTTTATCATGCCAAAGCAAAACGCTGAACCCGTCAATAGTTACTCTCCCTTCCCCCAGCCCCTGACAACCACCAGTCTGGTTTCTGTCTCTCTGGATTTGTCTATTCTGAACATTTCATATCAATGGAATCACACAATATGCACCCTTTGGGTCTGGCTTCTTTCACTTAGCATAATATTTGCGAGGTTTGTCTGAGTTACAGCATGCACCAGAATTTCATTCCTTTTTACGGCTAAGTAATATTCCGGGGTATGGATAGACCATATTTGCTTTTCCATTCGACTGTTGGAACATACACACTTCTCCTCTGTTTGAACCAGAAGTGGGCACTGAGCTCCCCTCCACATCCAGCTTTCCCTCCAAGGAGCTCCTGACCCTCCTCTGTGCTTGGAGAGACACCTGGTCTCAAGGAAGCCTTTGTTGAAATGCTGACTCGTTCCCCTGGAGGAGCCGCATATTGTAGTAGGCACAAGGGGCTTCTGCAGCATGAATGAAAGGCTCTGACACTATAGAAAGAAACTCACTGCATTCATGCAAAGGAGTGGCCAAGTGGTAATAACTGGAGAAATCCCAGGAGTTGGGGTGGCTGCCCTGCAGTCCCACCCTAGGGCCACAGGGCCTCCTCCACCCGAGCTGGGCAGGTCTGCCTATCAGCGATCCAGGCCAGCCTGCTGCTTTTTATGACTTCACTTGTTGAAACTCAAGCCACGCCTCGGTGAGTACATTCTGCCCACACCAGCCCATAAACAGGTGCCAGACTGCTGGCGTCATTGTATTTCCACAAGTTTTCTTTGACTTTCCATATTTACGGCGGAATTTTCCCAGGTGCAAACAGGAAGCCCCTTGAGCATTTCACTCCTTTCTAGAAAGAAAGGTTTGTCCCCTGCTCTCAAGCATAAAGGGCGAGCGAATGATTCACGGCGTCCTGCTCCCGGGACGGGACAGCAGTCCTGCTCCCTTAGGTGCAGCCAATCAGATCACAGGGCCAGTTTTAGTTTGGATAAGCCTCTTCTGAAAGAAGCCCTGCGAAAGTAATAACTGGCTAAATCCTCTGTCTGAAAGGCCCCGGACGCGATGGGCTGGGAAACGCTGAGTCCACAGTTGTGTCGCCGCGGTGGCTGCACGGCCCCCGCGCAGGTATGAAGCACAGCTGGTTTGTATCAGTGTCGAGGGTGGAGACGGGCTGTTTGCCCAACTGGTTGAGGTGAGTCGGTGCCTAGGCTCAGACCTCACCCGCTCCTGAATGGAGGAGGAGAAAGTCCAATCGCTGAAAAGCAGACTTTCGTGGGCTGCAGCCTCCAAAGTCGGAGACCACCCCCGAACGTAAGTAGACGCACAGCCGCGCGGGCCTCCTGTCTGGTCCTGGGGAAGCCCCAGGGAGGGGCAGGTCTGGAGTCGCCAGGAGAGCTCCAGTGCAGCCAGGCCTTCCCTCTGTGGTTCTGAAATTTACACGGGGCCGGAAGTAGCTGTGCCACTGTCTTCAGTCTATTACCTGTTTAAAAAGCTAGTTAGGATGTTCTGATTCTTAATACAATTACTGAATTTTATTTGGTGAAGGAGCTTCCAAAATTAATATTACATTGAACCATATGACATGCCAGCTGCGTGTGGTTCATCCCGTCGGGTCGAGGAGTTACAGTAATTGATGAGGGCATAATGCTTGTAACACAATGTAATTTTCTAAAGAGGCATCATTTCCCAAAGGAGCATAAAAAATAAACTGAAGTGATAATTTTAAGCAAATGAAGTTTTTATATTCTGTAAAAGTGAGTCTATGATTTTTTTATTTTGTCCATCTTACAAACAGCGAGAAAAGATTAAGGAATTGTATCCTTTTGATTAAAGGCTTAGGAGTGAGAGAATTGATCACTACAGTGACGTCACTCACAGTTTTCTCAGTCTGGGGGCATTTTAATTGGGCCTGCTCAAAACACTTAGGTTTTCTTTTCCAGCGACTGTTCTTTACACATAGTGCTTGGTACTACTAAATCAATGTTGGTCGAATCGGTAAGCAAATCAACGCGCACATTTTATTTTGAGTAAGTCCACTGCTGTGCAAGAAATCCTGAATTAGAAGGCAGAGGACTGAGCTCTATTTCCATGTTTGGCCTCCCAAACTGGGTCTTGGGCAAGCCCCTTGCCTTCTCTACCTCAGTTTCCCCACTCGGTTAGACAGGTAATCTCTAAGGTCTAAAAGTCTATGATTTTTAAAGTTTTCTGTAACTTAGTTTGTCCACCTAGAGAAACATGAAGGTAATAGTCCCAGTCCTGCTTGTGTTTTGGAGTCTAAGGGAACCCAGTTGGACAAAGTCAGCACCTGTCCTGGGTTTCTCCGGGAGCTGTGTGGGAAGCATCCTTATTAGGATGATGATCAATAAACAGTGTCCGTAAGTGAGCCCGAGGAAATGATTCTGGTTGTCCCTGCAGTGCGCGGCTTTACATGATTATTTATTCGATGTCTGGTCCCAACTACCCATTTTCCTCAGCAAGAAAACCGTTCTGCCTTCATAAAAATATGTGCAGAAGTGAAAGTGATTTGATGAAACAAGTGTTTAGAGTAAAAAATATAAAAACCATATGTTGTTGAAGAGAAGTGGATTTCACGCCTCCTAATGTTCGACTCGGAGCTCTGCTGTCAGTGACAGCGGGAAACCAGCCATACTCTGGATTTCCAAACCGAACACAATTAGAAACAGAAAACCCTCCACCAGCGGCACTCCTCAAGCTCTGTTTGGCAAATGGGCCCCTTTTGTCACTCCGTTTGTGTATATGTGTATATGTGTACATTGGCATTAACTCAGAGGCTTGGTAACACACTCGTTTCTCAGAAGTGTCTGCCAACCCCGGGGTGGGGAATAAAAACACCAGCCTGTATCGGGAGAGACGTCTGGGTGGCATATCGCAAAAGAAAACCCTTCAAAAGCAATTTCCATGATGTGACTGCAGAAATAAACATTTCCCATCATCTGGCTTTTGAGTTTGGGGAGATGAACAGACAGAAGAAGCCTCAGATCTCCTTCAGTTTTACACATGTACATACCCTCTTTTTCTTCTAGTCGCCTCTGATAAAATCCTGAGGGACGCTGGGCACCCTGAGTCACCATGGGCAATGAGAACAGCACTTCGGACAACCAGGTGGGTGTCGGAGCTTCTCCCTCGACCTACGTGGGTCTCTTGACTGACCTTGACCAGACTCTTTTTTTCAGCATCTCCCCTCTGCCCAGGAAGAAGCAAGCTCAGGCACAGATACACCTGGATACATACAGGCGTATATGTATCCACATAGGTCTTAATTTCGTTTTCAGAATTCTCATATTAAGGCAAGCCCTAATTTTATAAACTATAAAAACTAGCTTTACTTTTTATTCTGTGCTTTTAAAATTGACATATTGAGAGTTTGGGACATTTTTCCTGGCTTATGCCCACCCATCCGCTTACTTACATGAAAGCAGCAGAGGAGGTAGAAATAAAATTTTTCCACACTCCTCCCCAGAATAAAGTTTTGGCCCTTAAAAAGTGATTTTAAAATCTATCAACATTGAGCAGATTAAATTGCGGAATTGACCGTAACTGCTTAATTGTGCATAAGGCTGGGATATTAAAATATATTCAAATTTTGTAGTTAACTATTCTAAGTTTGAGAGTTTTAATTCAATGCCCTGGTGAACAAAATCAGGGAGACATTTCCCCATTTATCCCACACACAATGGAAATTTTGAATTAATGGTATTGAGTTCTTTGAATGAGAAAATTGGACCTAAAAACCAGCATAATGCAATTTGTTTTCCCTTTGCCTTTTTCTGCCCTACAATCTTTTCTCAAGCAGGAAAACAGGAATCATCATCAAAAAAAAAAAATGGGGGCAATCTTTAGGGGCAGACAAAAAACAGTAATTGTGTGAAATGACTGGGTGTGAGACGATAGGGAGAGGTGGGTACTGTGGCCACCAGGAGGGTTCCTGTCCTGTTGTCTAAAGGAGGCAGCCACCATCCACTCCAGCAGAAGGTCACCCTGTGGGAATGTGGGCCTGGTGTTACAAGATCTTCCCATTTCTTCAAGAGAAGTCAGAAACCTGTATTTTTTCTATGAAATCAAAGTTTTTGTTTTTTTTTTTTAAAGATTTTATTTTTTCCTTTTTCTCCCCAAAGCCCCCCAGTACATAGTTGTATATTCTTCATTGTGGGTCCTTCTAGTTGTGGCATGTGGGACGCTGCCTCAGCATGGTCTGACGAACAGTGCCATGTCCACGCCCAGGATTCGAACCAACGAAACACTGGGCCGCTTGCAGCAGAGCGTGCGAACTTAACCACTCGGCCACGGGGCCAGCCCGCAAAGTTTTTATAATCAAACTTTTTTTTTTGAGATAGTGGTAGATTGGCATACTGTTGTAAGAAATAATACAGAGAGATCCCGTGTACCCACTACCTAGTTTCCCCCAAGGGTCACATCTTGCAAAACTATAGTACCAAAACCCAAATACTGACATTGAAACACTCAATACACAGAACATTTCCATCACCAGAAAGATTCCTCTTGTTGTCGCTATAGTCACACCACCTCCCTCCTGTCCCGCATCCCTAACCCCCAGCAACTTCTAATGGGTTCTCTATCTCTATAATTTTGTCATTCTGAAAATGTTATATAAATGGAATCATACGGTATGTGACCTTTTGGAATTTTTTTTTTTCACTCAGCATAATTTCCTCGAGATTCTTCCAGGTTGTTGCATGTGTCAGTAATTCATTCCCTTTTTTGCTGAGTAGTATTCCACAGTATAGATGTACTATAGTTCATTGAACCATTCACTCCTTGAAGGACATCTGAGTTGTTTCCAGGCCGGGGCTTTTACAAATAAAGCTGCTATGAACATTTCTATATGGGTTTTTTGTGAACATGTGTTTGTGTTTCTCTGCGATAAATGCCCAGGAGTGCCATTGCTGGGTCATATGGTATTTGCATGTTTGGTTTTTCAAGGATCTGCCAAACTATATTCTAGGATCCCTGTCCCATTTTACACTCCCACCAGCAATGTACGAGTGAGCCAGTTCCTCAGCACCCTGGCCATCACTGGGCACTGTCACTCTTCGGTGTTGCCGTTCTGACGTGTGCTGTGATAGCTCACCGTGTCTTGATTTGCATTTCCCTCATGACTAATCATGTTGCACACCTTTCACGAGCTCATTGCCATCTCTATATTCTCTTTGGTGAAATATCTGTTCGTGTCTTTTGCCCATTTTCTCATTAGATTTTTTTTTTATTGCTTTGTTTTGAGAATTCTTTATGTAGTCTGGATACTAATCCTCTGTCTGATTGTGGTTTGCAAATATTTTCTCCCACTGGGAGCTTGTCTTTTCATCCTTTAACAGGGTCTTTTATGGGAACAAAAGTTTTTATGAGATACAATTTATCAGTTTTTCCTTTTATAGGTAGTGCTTTTGGTACCTTCTCTAACCTGAGATGACTTTCCACCTGGATACAGGCAATGTCAGAGTAGCTTACATTTTCTTTCCATTACCTTTACTAAATGATGCTGGTTCCAGCTGGGGGCTGGTTTGTTTAGGATTGACTCGTAGAAATGGAATAGCTGTGTCAAATAAGGGGTAACTGTTTTTGAAAGGCTTTTTGCTATATCTCTATATCCACATCCACATCCACATCCATATCTATATCTGTATCTGTATCCAAAATGCTTTCCAGAAAGGTGATACCAATATATACTTCTCTCATCAGGGTATGAGGGCCCATCTCACTATTTCTTGCAAGCAATGACTATTTTAGTGTTTCTGATCTTTATTGATTAGAGAGGTAAAAATGCCGGGCGATTTAAAAGCCCTCACCCACTATACGTACGCCCCCCTCACCTCCCGCCAGCCCCCAGCCCCCTTCTCCCTGCACCGTCCCTGCCCCACCCCCGCCCCGGAAGCAGACAGGAGGCATTTTCTGTCACTGCCAGTTTCCACTTCTCTGACCTCAGCCAGCCCTGACCCAGTGGGGCATTATGGGGTCGCCTTTATGATTCCAGGCTCGGAATAAGGTCTGCCTTCCTTAGAGGAATGAGTGAGAAGGAAGCACGAGTGTGTTTGGCTTCAGGACTCAGGCCTTCCGTGAGGCTGATGCTCACATGTTCCCACTGTCCCATGGGCATCTCCACCTGGATGACCCACCGTCACCCTGAGTTCCTCAAACCCGAACTCAGCTTCCCCCCCTGATCTGCCCCTCCTCCTGCATTCCCCCTCCTGGGTTCCATGATCTACCCTACCATCCAAGACGGAAGTCTGAGCCACCCTGACTCCATCCACTCCCGTTCTCCACATTTACTAAATCTCTCTATGGTTGGTTAATTAACTAATGGCCTGGGCATTTAGCCTTCCAAATTTCTGTTTAATTAGGACTTGTTTTAGTTGTGAGAGACAGAAGCCCGTCTCCAATGACCATAGCAGAGAAAGAGCTTGTTGGGCTTATAGAACCGAGATGTCCACAGAGAGGGTCTCACTGCAGGGGTCACTGAGTCCAGAGGTTCAAAAGATGACACTGGAGATCTCTCCTTTCTGGATCTTGCTCTCCTTTCCTCCATGATGCCTTGGTGCTTGGGGAGGTGCTCCCAGCACCCCAGTCCCCCAACTCCAGGCTTCCACGCTTCCTCCAGCTAATGGTCCAGCCTCCTGATCATCTCCGTCTAGGAATCTGACTGGCCCTGATGTGTCACATGCCCTCTCTGGGATCAGTCACTTATGCCCCGGAATGTGGGAGTCTCTGATTACCCAGCCTGAGTTATGCACCCTCCCCTAAAGGGGAAAGGTGGGCCCAGGTTAATGACGGCCACATCAATATCGCTTGGAGCACTTTCTCAAAAGATAAAATACAGCACATCTCCATTATGTTGTTTTTTTCCCTCTCTATTCCCACTGTCACAGCCTTGTTGCCTCACGCCTGGATCAATGCAAACTAGCTTCTCTGCCTCCACACTCCCCACCCCCGTCCCGTCCATGCCCACAGTCTTCTCCCAGACGGTCTTTCTCTGTGAGGATGCACTCGGGGGTCCCCACGTCCTGCTTACAAGTGAACTCTTGGAAGGAAGGAAACTCCTGTCCACAGATTCAGGGCTAGGCATTGAGGACCAGCAATGTCACCAGTGCAGAGGGTGAGGGACCGACCTGCCCAGTCCTGCCCCTTGCCTTCCTCATACACCCTTGGGCTGCAGATTCCTCTCCCTCAGTTGTCTAATTTCCCCTGGGTAGCTGTGGGCCGGGTGGGAGCACACCCAGCAGCTTAGGCCTGGGAATAGAAACCAGCCAGGACTGTCGCTCTGGTGCCGCGGGGGGTCCCGTTCACTGTGACCTGTCCTAACAGCAAGACTCCTTTGCTTTCAGCAAGAGGACTCCGGCTTGCATAACATCATCCTGTGGCCACCGAACCCTGAACTCCCGCAGGTACTGGGGAATGAGCTCGGCATGCTCTGCTTTCCAGCCCCTTCCTAACAACTAGACGGGTGCAGACTTGGCGTGGCATGTTCATTCGTATTTTTAGGTTTTCTCCTCCTCCTTCTCCTGTTGCCTCCTCCCATCCGCCTCAATAAGTTGTAAAACACAATAGAATCGGCAATATATATTTAGATTTTTTAAAATAACGTTTTGGTGTACCTACCCAAGAGCCATCTCGGTCGATATGCTGTGAGATGCTGAATGAGGCTCAAGTTTTCAATGTAACGCAGATGCTGAGAGCCAGTACTAACCCTTCCAACCTCTTCTACTTGGATTTCCTTTGTCCTGGAGTGAGGCTGCCTGTGGGGTGGCAGCCCCACCTTCGCCACCAGCGGGCAAAACTGATTTGTCTTTAAAAAATTGAATGCTGAATTCGTGGTCAGTGTTGTCATGCAAAAATGCAGCTGGCTGAGTCTCATAGCTTTAGCTCTGCCTGAAAGGTTTTGCCATCGATGGGGGAGGAGGGCAAATTGGGAGCTTTGCATCCATCTCATGGAGATTTTTCCTGAAGAGAATGTTGAGGTTGGTGTGTGCCCGTGGGTGTGGTCAGGATGACGCTCTGAAATCCCGTCACACCCTTGAGGAGGGGAGTCAGTCACCCAGGTGCTGTGCCCCTTGCTTTAGGAAACGAGCCGCTGCACCCCGAAGGGTGACTGCCAGGTAGGTCGGCTTGGTGCGCTTGGTTCTCTGTATATCCCCACCAAACAGTGGTGTGTGTGCTCGTGAAAGAACTTAACCGTCTGCGTAGAGCATAGTGAAGCCTTTCACACACCTGATTTCATCTGATTCTCGTCGTGATCCTGTGAGGGCGGCAGGCCCAGGCTGACCACTCTTGTTTCACAGACACACAGGTTCGGAAGGTTAATCATCCCAGTCATTTGGGAGGAGTGAGAATTAGAACCCTGGTCCTAGAGGGTCACAAAGAGTGGCCAGGCCAGTGGTTTTCAAACTGGGTTCTTATGTGTAGCTCGGGGCTTGCTACAGCACTCTGCAGCAGAGCTAAGATCTCGGCGACGAGGTCCCGTGTCTCGTCGTGGATGCAGTTGTTCATTCACTCAGTGAACATCTGTGGAACCCCGCTGGGTGGCAGGTACTGGTGTAGGTGCTGTGGATCCAAAGAAGAGCAAGACAAAGCAGGTCCCTTGATCCAGTGGGAAGAGAGAAAATAATGAGCAAGTGGACAAATGGACAAACCAACAAGTAAAGAAATGTTTGTTTTTAAACTTTATTGAGTGCCTCGTTTACCAGGCACTATTCCAGCACCTGGGATCAGCAGTGAATAATTCAGCCACAACCCACCCCAGCGCAGCTCCCCTTCCACAGGGAAAAACGGACAATGTGCTAGTCAGCAAAGAAACACATAATGCAATTTCGAATGGCAACTGGAGTCAGCAGCTGTTTTTATCCTTTTTTTTTTTTATTGTGGTAAAATATACATAACATAAAGTTTACATCTTAACTGTGTTTAAGGGTCCATCTCAGTGGCATTAAGTACGTTCGCATTTTGTGCAACCGTCACCACTATCCATCTCCAGAACTTTTTCATCTTTCCAAACTGAAACTCTGTACCCATTTAACAGTAATTCCTCATCCCCCGACCTCAGCCCCTGAGAGCCATCATTCTACTTTCTGTCTCTGTGATCCTGACTACTCTGAAGACCTCATGTCAGTGGAATCAACCAGCATTTGTCCTTTCGTCACTGGCTTATTGCACTTAGCGTAATGTCCTCCAGGTTCCTTCACGTTGTAGCATGTGTTGGAATACCCTTCCTCTCTAGGTCTGAAGAATGTTCATTATATGTATACTCCACATTTTATTGATCCATTTATCTACTGGACACTTGGGTTGCTCCCCGCTGTTGGCTGTTGTGAATAATGCTGCTATGAACATGGGTGTCCAAATGTCTGCTGGAGTCCCTGCTTTCAGTTCTTTTGAGTATATACCCCAAAGTTGAATTGCTGGCTCATATGCTAATTCTATGTTTAACTTTTTGAGAACCCCCATACTGTTTTCCACAGCGGCTGCACCACTTTACATTCCCACCAGCAATGCACAAGGGTTCTAATTTCTCCACATCCTTGCCAACTCTGATTATTCTTTTGTTCTTTGTTTTTAGAGAGCCATCCTAATGGGTATGAGGTGGTAGCTCATTGTGGTTTTGATTTGTGTTTCTCTAATGATTAGTGAGACTGAGCGTCTTTTCATGTGCTTATTGGCCATTTGTATATCTTCTTTGGAGAAACGTCTATTCAAGTCCTTTGTCTATTTTTTAATTGAGTTGTTTGGTTTTTGTTGTTGTTGAGTTGCAGGAGTTCTTTATATATTCTGGATATCAATCCTTTATCAAATATATGATTACAAATATTTTCTCTCATTTTGTGGGTTGGCTTTTCATTGTTTTGTTAGTGTCCTTTGATGCACAAAAGTTTTTAATTTTGATGACGTCCAGCTTACCTATTTTTTAATTTTGTTGCCTGTGCTTTTGATGTCCCAGCTAAGAAATCAGTGCAAGTCCAATATCATGAAGCTTTTCCATAGGAGGCTATTTTCATGTTTTTTATTGAGATGAAATTCACATAACATAAAATTAGCCATTTTAAAGTGTATGACTCAGTGGCATTTCGTACCTTTACAATGCTGTGTGAGCACTCCTTTTATCTAGTTTCAAAATATTTTCATCACCCCAGAAGGAAACCTCCTACCCATTAAGCAGACACTCCTCATTCTCCTCATCCCCCAGGTTCTGGCAATCACTAATCAGCTTTCTGTCTCTATGGATTTACTTATTCTGGATGTTTCCTATAAATCAAGCTATACAATACATGACCTTTTGTGTCTGGCTTCTTTCCCTTAGCATAATGTTGTGGCGCGTATCAATACCTGCCGCTGTTTTGTGGCTGAGTAATATTTCGTTGTGTGGATGTGCCACATTTTTCATCCGTTCATCTGTTGATGGTCTTTTCGGTGGTTTCCACTCTTTTGGATATTGTGAGTAAGGCTGCTATGAACATTGGTGCACAAATATCTGTTCAAATCTCTACTTTCAGTTCTTTTGGGTATATACCTAAGTGGAATTGCTGGATCATATGATAATTCTATGTTTAAGTTTTTCAGGAACCACCAAACTTTTCCACAGTGGCTGCACCATTTCACATTGCCACCAGCAATACCTGAGTGTTCCAGTTTCTCTACATCCTCACCAACACTCAGCGCTTCCTGTTGTTGGTGTTTGTTTAATTACAGCCATGCTAGTGGGTGTCAAGCGGTATCTCATTGTGTTTAGAGACTGTTTGGTGAGTGGTCAGAGGAGCCCTCTCTGTAGAGGTCTGATGTGCTAAGAAGGGGATAGCCACATAAGTTGTGGAGAAGGAGCATTCTGGAAAAGGGAACAAGTGTAACGTGTCAGGGAGGAACAAGCTGGTTGTATTTTAAGATCAGTAAAGCATGCCAGTGTGGCTGAAGGAGGGTGGTGAGAGAAGCTGTGGTGAGAAGTGAGGCCAGGAGGCGGGTGAGCACTCAGTCTTGTAGGTCGCTCTTGGCCTTGGGAAAGAGGCTGGCTTCATCCCGACTGTGAAGCAGAGCCGTTGGAGGGTTTTCAGCAGAGGAATGACAGGAACTGGTGTGAGATTTTGAAAAGGGGGCTGTGGTTGCTCTGAGAGAGTGGTCTTTAAGGGGCAGAGGGCAGAAGTGGGGAGGGACGTTAGCTAGGAGGCTATTTAGAAGTCAAAGGCGGAGATGACTGTGACTTGGAATGAGGTGGCAGGGAAGGAGGTCTCTAGACTCAGGACCTATTTTGAAGGCAGAGAGGACAGGCTGGATGACAGATTGAATTCGGGGGTGGGAAAGGAGCAGAATCAAGAAAGAGCCTGAGGTGTTTGGCCTGAGGCATGAGCTAGATGGGAATTTCATTTCCTGAGATGGAGAGGATTGGAGGATGGGCCAGTTTGGGGAGAAGGAAGAGAATCAAAGGTTCTGGTTTGGCCATAAAATGTGAATGACTATTGGGCGCTCCAAGATCTAACAGGCATTTGGGTGCACAAGAGGTGGGGCTTAAAATGTGTGGTTGAGTCATCAGCATTGGTATTTAAAGCCATGTGACTGGATGAGATCACCTGGGGAGAGAATGAGAGATGGGAAAGTGGACCCAGGACTAAGCCCCGAGATGTGCCAACATTTAGACATGAGCCTGGGGGAAGGGGGAGTCTTTGAAGGAGTCGGAGCTGGCTGAAGACAAAGGAAAATGAGGGACCTGGGAGAACATAAGAGGAGAATGTCAAGAGGTAGAGAGGGTATGACAGGTGCTTCTGAGAAACAAGGAACAGACACCTCTCCGTTGATTTGGCAAGATGGAAGCCACTGGTGATGAGGAAAACCTCATATTGCCCTGCAGGCCCCTGACGAGCACAGTTTCAGTGGAATGACAGGGGTGCAGGCTGGATGGGGGAGGGTTGATGAGGGAATTGGACATAAGGCTGTGGCAAGAGGTGTGTAGCTAATCCAAGAAGTTTTTCTAAATAGGGAGCAGCATATTGGGACAGTAGCTAGAGGAGAGAGTTGCATGAAAGATTTAGTTAAAGCCTGAAGATACTAGATTCCTGTGTGTTCTTGAGAATGAGGGAGAGAGGCAGAGATCAATGAAGGACAGGGAAGGGAAGGGTCAGCTGAAGGAAGGCTGGCCTTGAGTGTTTGAGAGGGAGTAGGATGGGAGCAGGGGTGGGCTTAGAGGAGAGACACTTCCACCATTGGGTATTGGTGGAGAAAAGACAGAAGCAGACATACCTGGGAATCATGAGGGTGGGAGGAGGGCGAGACGAGGAGGTCTCTTCTGATGGCTGAAACTTTTCGAAAGCCATTCCAGTGTCTATATGTTTCTGTAGTTAGAGTCTCAGAAAAAAAATGAATTTCAGCTGTAGAAATTGTGGTCAATGCTATGCAGCAAGAAGGCAAG